ATCCAAATTCTTCCGCAGCCCCACACTAGTGCTGGCCCGGTCTGTCCGGGCCTTGTCTCCTGCACGGGGTAGCGAGGTGTTCAGCTACCCCCCTCCACAGCCTCCAACTCCACCTGCGTATCGGACCCCCCCCCCCCCCCCGAGTCCGATACGCGGAGGCCATTTGGCCCGGAATATCGAGCGCTTAATAGCGCCCGCTTTCCCGACCCCAGCGGCGGATCTGGTCTCGGGCTCCGCCGCCAACCAAGTTTCGGCCGCGGAGGGTAGGGAGAGCGGCGCCTCGCAATACCGACACTCCTCTCCCCCCGCGGCCCCACCACCACCGCATCAACGGTGCGGCCCCGTCTGAGTCGCGGAGGATAGGGCGTGTGGCGCATCGCCATACCAGCACTCCTCTTCCTCCGCGACTCCACCTCGGCTGCAGCGGTAGAGGGAGCGGACACCCCTCTATCCGCAGCCCACCAACACACATCCGAAGTGGGCTCGTTAAGCCCACTCGGAGTGGCCACCTCGGGCCGGCCCTACACCTCGGGCCAGCCAAGGGGTTCCTCTTTGTTCACCGCGGTTGACCAAGCCACGGCTACTAAGCCCCCCCGCCACGACAAGGCGGGAACCCGTTCGGGGGGGGGACCTAACCATCCTACAGGCCGATTGGGCTATTGCCTATGCTGGGCAATGTCTTCGAAAAAATGGTAGTCCGCAGAATCAAGTGGTTCATGCCACAGCGTAGCACCGAGGACTCCCTCTATGATATGATGCAGTTCATAACAACCAAGCTAAAAGACAAAAAGCTCATCTTGCTGATATCATTAGACATAGAGGGAGCCTTCTGGCTGGTGGCCGGCGATACGATGTGGACTTGCGAAGGCTGGATGCCCAGTAAACCTAAGACGCCTGATAGATAGCTATCTCAGAGACAGAACAGTGTGCCTGAGATATGCGGGGGCCGAATGGGTAAAAAATACCACAAAGGGGTGTGTGCAGGGCTCAATAGGGGATCCAATTTTTTGGAACATATTGTTGGACCCACTATTGAAAGAATGGAGTGCGAAAGAGACTCATTGTCAGGCTTTTGCGGATGATGTAGTTCTGATTTTCTCTGGGGACACGGCAAAACAGGTTCAGGAGCAGGCAAATGTGACTCTTGCATGCATGTCCATAAGTGGAGACCGAGAAATAAGCTTAAGTTTGCGCCATATAAAACTAAAGCGATGATAATAACAAACAAACTTAAGTACGAAGCACCACTTCTGGAGATGGGCGAGGAGAGCATCGGCCTCTCAAGAAAAATAAAAATACTCGGCCTCACAGTCGATGGCAGGCTTGCCTTCGACAAACATGTAAAAATTGTATGTTGTAAGGTACAGAACCTATACCATCGGCTGTCGAGAGCCGCAAAGATTCATCGGGGCCTTAACGAAATCCCATAAAATATACAAAACCTGCGCAAAGTTCAAAAACTTTAATAAACTAGGTTTATATAAAAAGGGGTTATTATAATATTAAAGAATTCATGGATGATTATAACCCCCAGACAGAGGGTTTTTTTCGAACCAGTGGTAATTAAACAAAAGAGTGACTTTCAATAACTATTATTTATAATCTATATCGAATAAAAAGTTTCTGTTTCTGTATAATATTGAATAATACACCAGTCACGAGCCCATCCGAACGACGCACGATAATCCACGAACACTGAGTTTCGGCGCCACCGAAGGTTCGGCAGATATTTTGCCGAAGCCGAAACTATTACCGAAACTAGATTTTTTTGCCGAAACTTGCCGAAACCGAAACCGAACCTTTGGTCGGTCACTAATTATAATAAGAATAGAGCTTTTAGACTGACTCTAGGTAGTCTCACATAGGCTAAATAAAAATTTTACTATTAACAGTTAACACTATATTATAAATATATGTATCGTGTGTTAAGAGTGTGAAAATCCTAACAAGTAGAGTTACGACTCTACATAGAGTAAAAAGTTTTTTATTTTATTTTATTTTTATATTTTACCTAAAGGAACGGGATGGGGTATTTGTGGTTCTTTTTAAATTGAGTAACCTTTAAATAACTGTAACCTTGTCGAACTTCTAATATAATTTATAACTTTTACAAAGCTTTAAAAAGTCCTAGTCCTTAAAGAGTTTATGTTATTTTGTTTTGTTGATTGTTGAGAGAGAGAGAGAGAGAGAGTTTATGACAAAATGTTCGGTTTCCGTACTCCAACTAAAAGTACTGAGGATAGTGCCAAGTACACGAGTTCTCAGGATTCCCCGAATGCGATAGAGAAGACAGGGCCTTCTACTAAAACGGATCGAACGGTACTGGTCCCTAATGTAGGATAAAGTATTGGAGAATGGGAAACAGGACAAATAGATACGGAAGCGGTAAAACAGACCTCCCCAAAAAAGGTAGCCCCATTGACTCGACAAAAACAGTATATTGCCCTATCCCAGGAAGCAAAGGGAACAGTCCTTAAAGCAGTTGCTGAGGTCACAGAAAATTTACCAGAAGTGGAGACTAATTCCTAAACATAAAACCAGCAGTGAAACTTAAAATAAAATCAGCTGACAATAAGGTCAATATTCTCGTGGACGCCGAACTCTTATCTAGCTCGGCACTAAACAATGCCTACTTACCTCTACCCTTCCCTTTCACGCACGCGCTACCGGCGCCCGGCCGACTCGTGTCACCTCGCACTGTGGAATTTATACATGTTAGCGTTGTCGACATGTGGGGAATTCACAAAATTGCGAGGAATTTAAAGTTGGTTGGCGATTTTATGGGAATTGGTATTATGCGGGGAAAAATGTGGGGAGTTTGAAAATCAATAGCCAGGGCCAAGTCAGAACCTTGTTTTTTTTTTTTGTGTAACATTTTGTTAGGTTACTTATGAATATCGAATGACTCCCTTTTTTAATTATCTTCATTGCACCATATTTAATTTTCGGATTTATTTCGGCTACTTTTGTGTATCATTTAATGCTTTTGATTTCTTTATTTTTTAATTTTAAAGAACAAAAGTGTTAGTTAAAAAGTAAAGGGACCTTCAAGAAAAGACTCCTTTTTAAAAGGCCGGCAACGCATCTGCAATTCCCCTGGTTCCCCCGGTGTTGCAGTTGTTCATGGGCGGCGGTAGTCACTTACCATCAATGAGCCGCACGCTTGTTTGCCCCCTCTCCTATAAAAAAAAATCTTATAAAATTAATTGAAAATTGTTTCATTTCTTAAAATAAAATTCAAGGGAATTTGTAGGGAATCTGTGGAAGTTTTGTCCTTAAATTGGGGAATTTGACATGAATTTTCGGGGAATTTGACAAATTGGTGTTGACAACGCTACCATGTTGCACCCAAATTTACCTACTTAGATTTGTTTGCCGGCGACATAAGAATTAGAAGCGACTATCACTATAAAACTTCGAAGGCCTTTGACAGGGTTTGGCACGCTAGTCTATTGGGCAAGCTTTCAGCGTACGGCTTATCCCCTGGCTCGATTGCCTGGGTGAAGGATTTTCTGAGTGAACGGTCTCTCCGGGTCGTCGTCGATGGCTGCTCATGCAATACTGTGGCAACTAACGCCGGTGTTCCTCAGGGGTCCGTTTTCTCCGCTACTCTCTTCCTGCTGCATATAAATGATCGACTCATTCCCAGTGTCTATGGGTATGCAGACGACAGCAAAGTTGTGGAGAGATACCAACCAATGTGCCCGGGTCAGTCGGGATCAAATCCAGGCAGAAAGAGAGGCTATGGTTGAGCGTGTGAGTCTCACACTACAGGTAGTCTCCGAATGGGGCGATGCCAATCTCGTGAGATTTAACGCCTTTAAAATACAAGCGTGTCTTTTTACCACTAAAAGGAGCCCGCTCACCTTGGCTCCTACTTTCCGGAATGTATCCTTGGAGTACACTGACCGCCTTCAGTTGTTAGGGATTGAATTTTCTACTAACCTAAACTATGGGCGGTTCATTGAGTCCAGAGCCAAAGCAGCCGCAAGGAAACTTGGCGGCCTTGCAAGGATGCGGCGGTACTTCACGCCGGGGCAGCTTCTTACCTTATATAAAGCGCAAGTCTGGTCGTGCATTTAGTACTGCTGTCACATATGTGCTGGTACATTGACCCCTAGTCAGCTGATTGTAATACCACTGTTAGTTTTACGTTTAAGTGTTTTCATGATTTTTTTATGAAATTGTCGTTTCAATTAGCTGTACTAACATGATGGAGCGTGAATAAAGCTATTAAAACGTTGTGAAAAGATGATGATCTTATCTCTCGTGACCGATTTTCTTTCTGACCCATCATTAATGGTATCGTTAGTACTATCGTTTTTCCCGTCCTGTTCATGCTACGTCCACGTCCCGCCCATGTATCCGTAACCTATGCATTTTCACGTACATTTTCTATGAAACGATTTTTCCAAAATTTGTCGTCTCGTTCCGTTTGAAATAAAACACATTACGTACGCAACGACCTTAAAATGGTAGACCCTCAAATAGTGATAGCCCAGGGCCCGCGAGCAATTTCCCAAAATTTGACACTGCTTGGATACGTAAAAGTGGTGCGATTTTGTGTATGAAACGTCTGCTCGTGTGAGTTATGAAGTCTAAATGATGTAACAAGTTCAAAAGTTTTTTATTGGCTTAAGGGCCTTGAGATATTATTGTTATCAACTGTTGATAACAATAATATCTCAAGGCCCAGCCAGTTACTGTCCGTTGCATTAATCTGTCGCCAAATAATTTTCAATGAATGTTCATCAGCATATTGTGAGTTTTGTAAACAAAATACAAATCAAACAAAACTGTATGGTCTAAGATCTTTGCCTGACTAGTTAGTGAATCGTAACAACAATAACTACAACAACAAATGTGTAACCACAGCACAGAGTACTTTTGTAACCTATGAGCTATGAAGTGTAATTTTTTATGATTAATTGATGGTGTAAACATTAATTAATTAATTAAATCTTACCTTACGTATACTTCTAGACATATAATCCTTCACAATGTCCATCGAAATTGAATCTGCAGAGTAAGCTTATGTACAAATTTAGTTATTTTCTTTATCTTATTACAGAAAAAATTACAGTCTCAATTAATTTTTCAGTGTTATTCGCTTAATTCAGCAATATCTAAAGGAGTCAAACCTTACAAAAACTTTACAAACCCTTCAGGTATGTAGATCTGTTTACATTGCAATAAGTGTCAAGAAAATTTATCATCAGTAGAAATTTTATATTTACTGTCAATTTTTTGCATTTCAGGAAGAAACTGGTGTATCACTTAATACAGTGGACAGTGTCGATGGCTTTTGTGCAGATATTAACAATGGACACTGGGACACAGTGCTAAAAGCCACAGCTTCACTTAAATTGCCAGATAAAAAGCTCATGGAGCTGTATGAGCAGGTTGTGCTTGAGCTGATAGAGCTACGTGAACTTGGTGCAGCACGAACAATTTTGCGCCAGACACATCCATGTCAGCTTATGAAACAACATGAAACTGATCGCTATATGCATCTAGGTAATTCCTTTTCTTATTTATAGAAGCATCACAAATGAACATGCAGTCCATCTGATGGTAAGATTGTGATAACAATCTGGCCTATAGATATTGGCTTAGCAGCATCTCCATTAACATTACTACACTATATAGCTATCCTCCATTAACATTCATAATGTAGATGCGTTGTCACCATTGAGTTATATGTACTAGGTACTAGAGAAGCCATTCCGAACATTGACTATGTTCAACTGAACTGTAGTGCAATCCATACAAACTAAATATTGCGTAAATTGAAGATTTGTGAATTCCATAAAATAATTATTGTTACATTTTATATAGAAATATGTCTGTTTAGATTAAACTAAGATATTTATATTAAATTCTTATATTTATTTTATATTAATATCTTATTTTATATCAAATTAAAGTCTTCGCTCATGCGTGACTACTACTACCGCACATGCGTGAAGACATAGAGTAGGACACAATTTTTGTTTGGAATGGCTTCTCTAGTACGTAGTACATATAACTCAATGGTTGTCACCCTTTAGGATGTAATAAAATGCCTACCTTCCTACTTGCCTGTCAAACTTTCATGGTTCTTACTATGTAAAACAAATCTAAAAATATTTAAAGCAATTTTAATACATATTATAATTTTAAAGTTATGCAGTGCCATCTTTTGTTGTGAAAATAACAGTACTAAGTTTATTTCAATAAACTGTACAATTAACTCTAAATAATATCTTAATTTAAAATAGTCTACAATAACAGGCAACTGAACTAGGGTAAACCTGTATCTCAGGTGTATGTGCTAATAGATAGATATGTTAACAAATATTTTCTGTTTCTTATATACGATGAATAACATACCAACTTATTTATATTTACAACAATAGTTTAATTTTTTAATTATTTATAATAATTAAAAAATGAAACTGTTCTTAGGAGATGTAGGGATTTTTTAAGAATTCATCTATTATGTTATGGATATATTAATTCAGAAGTGATGTGTCAGATAAGTGAATTTACACTTTTTTTAATTCCATTGAAATTAAGGATTATAAACAGGAATTATGAAATAAGAACCTGCTGAACTAGTGGTCAGATAGCCATACTTACCACATATTGGTGGTATCTTCAAGACCTAATTGGAAAACAGTGCACAGTTTTATAGGCAAGCCCCTCTTTGCATAATATGCCTTCTAATTATACAAATGGATGGAATTTCACTAAATTGCTGTTGGTGACAAGAAATATTGCTGCTGTCTAATATGGCCTTGTAACTCAAAAAAGACAATTAAATTAAACTGAAAATATAACTTTTATAAAAATCTCAACATTCATTCATTCAGGTCCCATGAGATTATTTTGTTGTGAACTGTTGTACAGAATGTTTTCTTCTTACATAGAAAACCTGACAGTATGACAGAATTTGAATCCGCAGCTCTCATTGCTGCAACTCAATGCCAAGCCACTACGCCAATTAAGCTGGTGCCACTGTTGTTTGTTCACAAAAATAGGTTAAAGCATGGTACCTCCCAGATGTCAATAAGGTAGTAAATTTAACATGGCTAGAAAAATAATAAAAACCACAGGGTTTTTTGACAGTCTTTTTCTTGTTTTTTGAAACCAGTGCAGATTTTGATATTCATAAGAGCTTCAAACAAGCTTAAATTGAATAACCAGTTTTGTCTGATATTGAAAGTGTCATATCAACAGCAAAAGATAAGTGAAGCGGGAGCATAAGTTTGATTGTGCGCAGAGAACCTGGTGTCGCGGTCGTACTTCGACCCGCGCGAGGCGTACGGCTCGGGCGGCGGCAAGGAGCGGCGGCGCGCGGCGCTGGCGGCGGCGCTGGCGGGCGAGGTGTCGGTGGTGCCCAGCTCGCGTCTGCTGGCGCTGCTGGGCCAAGCGCTCAAGTGGCAGCAGCACCAGGGACTGCTGCCGCCAGGTTACCACTACTCCTCACCTCAACATTATACCATATTTGGACATGCTTATGGCACATGGACAAATGCCAACAATTATAGGCTGCCGGTTTATATGTGATAGAGCCATGCTGCAGCTTCATTATTGTAGCAAGAATGGGTTGGCTCAACCAGGGTAGGACCACACTCCCACAGAATACCAACATAAAATAATAATAATAATAATAATAAATATTTATTGCCACACAATAATAAGTTTACAAAGTATACACATAAAAATGATTAGACTTAAAAATTGTATAAAAAAAATGAGCATTCACAATTAACAGATTAACTAATATTTCTCAGTATACGATTATAATGTGAGGCAACGGGCACAGGCTCAGTATTCGCTGGGCACTATGCTTAGCACTGCTGTTTTGGGTATATTTTGGTCGTACTTAATTATGTATTATTGGTAAACCTCTTTACAGTCATTATGTGTTAGATAAAAATACTTTATTACAGAATCAACATACAGCCATTCGGACTAAAAAGACGTCTTTTCTTTTTTCTTTAAAAAAACACGTTACCCCCACACTAGGATTTTCTCCTGTATCGTGGAGGCAGTTTACAAACACAAACTGCACAAGAACAAACGTCCAGACCCGGAACAATTATTTGCAGGCCATACAAATACTTGTTCCGTGCGGGATTCGAACCCGCGGCCCCCAGCGCAGCAACTCATTGCTAAAGCACTGCGCCACGGAGCCGTCAACTTCTGTTTATTAAATAACTCCTTTTTAACCTTTTTTTTTTAATTTTATACCTTTTTTGTTATAACCTTTTTTTTAAATAGCAGCTTAATGCTGCCGAGTTTTTTATGGTGAGTATAGAGAACTGCAGACCCTTTTTACTTGAAAGGAGGTATTCCATCTTAGTCCTCAGGGATTACAATGCATCTGTACTTTGGTTCTTAATCGAGAACACATGTAGATTGTGCTCGTTGATTCTTTTAAAAAAATACAATTGCTTGCTCTGTGAGAGAATTGCGACAACCATAATTATACTTAGAAAGTAGACACCAGAGCCAAAGTTAATTGACATAGACCTTTATTTTTCAACAATTACCAATAAAATTGAATATGTCAGTTCACTGTCAGTTATATTTTGAAATATAAATGTATACAACAATATTTAGAAAAATATAGCTCCTACTATTTATAAATTTGAGAGCAAGTCCAAAATTCTATCTTAATCATATACCCTGGAAATTTAGACTAGTATGTATAATAAGAGAACTTAACAGTTGTGAAACTAACACAAATAGGTACTAAAAGCAATTGAATTCTATTTCTAGGAACAACCATCGATTTGTTCCGAGGTAAAGCAGCCATTAGAGATGAAGAAGATGATCAGTGCCCAACTCAGTTATCAAAAATTATAAAATTCGGCCAAAAATCTCATGTGGAATGTGCCAGGTAAATTATTTGTTTTAATTTCACTATTTAATTGTGGTCTACTTTATTATTAATATAATATAACTAGAATACTGTTTGTGTACACTTAAAAATAATATTAACAATAAGTTTTAGATTGGAGCACATAAAATAATCATAAAAAAAAGAAAATTTATATTAAAGTTACGTAACGAGTTTTTTTACTGTCACTTCACCAATTATTTTTTTATCAATGTTGTAAGTTTTCAAATTGAATATTATGCTATCTATCAACTAAATTATTGTATGATACTACTTGTAATTTTTTTAACAATACCCACCACTATGGCTACTGTAGATGGAGCACTAGGAAAAAACTTGGGCATCAAAAAGTTAAGTCCGGTGCTGGCTGTTTCAGTATTTGTTTTAGTAGGATTTGTTTTAGACATATAAATTGTGTGAGTGTTTAAATTTATGTTTAATTTGTCAGGTTTTCACCGGATGGGCAGTACTTAGTGACGGGTTCGGTGGACGGTCTGGTAGAAGTGTGGAACTTTACAACGGGCAAAATCCGTAAGGACCTGCGCTACCAGGCGCACGACGAGTACATGAGCATGGAGGAGGCCGTGCTTAGCCTCGCCTTCGGACGCGACAGCGACACGCTGGCCGCCGGCTCCATCGACGGCAAGATCAAGGTATCCTGAAGGTTTTACGTGCTAGAGTCATGCTGTAACTTTAATATGGTTGTAGCCCGAATGGGTTGGCTCGACCGAGGAAGGATCACGTTCTCACAGAATACCAGCGTAAAATAGCAGCGCTTAATGCTGCTGTGTTTCGTATGGTGAGTGTAAAGAGCCAGAGACCCTTTTTACTGGAAACGTGGCATTTCATCTAAGTCGTCAAGGGCGGCAACGCATCTGCATTTTAATTCTTAACTGAGGATAGATGAGCGAGTTTGTATATGACGTGCGGGGTGCGGCGTGGTGCAGGTGTGGCGCGTGTCGACGGGGCAGGTGCAGCGCAAGCTGGAGCGCGCGCACGCGAAGGGCGTCACGTGCCTGCAGTTCACGCGCGACAACACGCAGATCCTCTCCGCCTCCTTCGACCGCACCATACGGTCAGTCACACTGCCTGTCTAATTAAACCAAACGTACTACATGTAGCAAACACATATGTTACACACACTTCCATACAATTTTTATTTTCATCCATATCTTTTGATAAGTTTCGTACCAAAAGGTTTTAAAAACTACAAATATATCTCGATATATTACTACTGTATTACAATGTTGATTTCAATTTTTTTTATGTTTAACTACGTACAGTACACAGTTTTATTTTTTTTTTCCTTAAAATTACGATAGAATATTATATAAATAATGGAACAAGTATACTAATGGGATTCAATTAAAATTACAGTACTTAACAAGAAGTGATTTTTAAAGAATTTATGTTATTTTTTTTTTATGATTAATTAATACAATTAAAGGAGACGGCTCATTTCTGCTCCAAGTTGTTTCAAGTTTATGTACTTAATTAGCCCCGGAGACCTAAAAAAGTTATTTAATTAAAATAACATATAATTAAATAATGCAAACTGTACATTCAATACTAACGTGCCAAGGGGAGATTGCAAATTGGTGTGATTAAAAAGTACTTTAATGACTGTACTTAAAGTCAGCCATGTTTTTTCTTTTTTTTTCTTCTGTTGAAGTTTACGTAAAGTGAACGTGCTTGTGTCATTTTGCCTGGATTGCGAAATAGGAGTTTTGGCGCCAACGTGAAAAGAACATGTATTATTATATATATTTATATATTATTGTATTACTTTCTTTAACTTATATGTACTGTGTAACTGTATTTTCGAGGTAATATGTAATATAAATGGTGGATTATTATAAATTATTTGATGTTCGTGAATGTGCTTCTTTGACGATTTTTAGTAAAACTTGAAAATATATATGGGCATGGCATTGGCGTTATTTTTTTCAATGTTTTAGTTGATATCTTTTAAGCCCCACTATGCAGAATAAAAACATTAACGGTTCCTCAATAGATATTAAAAATCCTATACAATGATCCAATTTTGGTCGAGTCTCCTGCACTATTGCTGTGGGGCAAATGTCCATGGAAAATGGGCCGTCTCCTTTACTATTATTTAGATTCCAGAAATTCTTTAATATAGGGTGGCCCATAAGTCCCTTGAAATGTAAAAAAATAATTAAAAAAAAACTAATGACATTATGAAAAAGGTTTTTATTTTGTCATAATCCTTATAAAATGGGAATTATTTTTTGAAAATTACATCATCTAAATGTAATCCGTTACGATCGCGGCACTCCTGTAAGCGACGTTTAAAATTATCCATCACTGCGTGGCAAGTAAGCTCTGTAATGTTTGCCATTTCTCTTTGGATATTTTCTTTCAGGACGTCAATTGTCCGCGGGTTGGTTTCGTACACTTTAGTCTTAAGATAACCCCATAAGAAAAAGTCCATTGGGGTCAGATCTGGACTACGTGGTGGCCAAGGAATATCTCCTCTTCGAGAGATCACTTTATTAGGGAAAAGTTGACGGACGACCGGCATAGCGACGTTAGAGGTATGGGCAGTTGCTCCATCTTGTTGAAACCAGGTCCGCGTATTGAAGCCTGGAAAATTCTGCAACTCTGGTGTAAAAAAGTCCTGGATCATAGCTACATACCGTTGTGAAGTAACAGTAAGCGCGCGGCCTCTGCCGTCCTCAAAAAAGTAAGGGCCTATAATGCCATGCGCTGACATAGCCGCCCAAACTGTCACTTTAGGGCTATGTAAGGGCTTTTGATGTTTGCGATTTGGATTTTCGCAACTCCAGTAGCGACAATTTTGCTTATTGACATGGCCGTTGATGTGAAAGTGAGCCTCATCAGAGAATAACACGTTATTAAACGAAGTAAAGCGGTTCAACATTTCATTTGCGAAATTTAGTCTGTGGATAGTGTCAGTATCTTTTAATTCCTGTACTAACTGAATCTTGTACGGGTGAAGATGTAAATCTTTCTTTAAAATTCGCTGTAACGATGTTCTGGGTAAGTTTAATGCACTGGAACGCTTACGAGTAGACTGGGTAGAATTTTCACGAATTGAGTGTTTCACTACATCGATGTTTTCTTCCGTCCGTGATGTCCTTGGTCGACCTGACCGTTGTTTATCCAACGTCGAACCACTCTCTTCGAACTTAATAACCCAGTTCTTAATCGTTTGAACACTTGGAATGTCTTTAAAGTTGCGTAAATTCTGATATTCTCGAAATTTACGCCGCGCAATGGTAGCCGAATCATTGTTTCGATAAAACTCGCGCACACAAAATGCACGGTCCGCACCGGTGAAACGCTCCATGGCGACTGAATTCCCAGAAACCGTCGGTACTCCCCCCGCACCGCGCGCGCCACTCATGCGCGCCTTTTGTATTTTATTCGAAATTTACATTTCTAACGACTTATGGGCCACCTGTTACTATAAAATTGGTATTGAAGAAACCAACTGAAGTGTTTTTAAACTTATTCTATTGCAGTCTCGTACTCGTGTTAGGTATTTTATTATGTATTTTTATACACATGTTATAACAATTATTTTTAAATTATTGGTAAAAGCCACTTCATCCAATTCAAAAACACAGGTTCTCGTGTTTTTGGGAAATACGGCTTTAGCTTCTTTAATATGATATTGGTGCTGCTTAATGGACGGGTAGCTAACTATTTCAAAGACATATAAACTAGGCATGAGAAGACTAGTGGTGGTGGTGCGGCACCGTAAATAACTATTTACATATTTTTTTGGGAAATGAAATTTTTTTGTATACTTTTACTACTATTTTTGTATACTATTGACCCCAAATTATGAGCCCTTAGCTAAGAATCTCGATGTAACAAATAACGATATCGATCTACATATATTATGCTGTGATTGCCGTATGTTCTGATGCTATTTTCGTCAGTTTACGTAATGAATACGTAAAACTATTGATTTGTACACTAAATCCATTTGTTCCCCCCCCCCCCCCCTCTTTTTAATTTTTGGTCAATTTATAAAACAACAAATTTAGCATCTTCAAGAGTAGCTTTGAAACCTATATAAGTATGTCGATTGTGGTTTATATTTATCAAAGTATTAAAATTGTTGAAATATGTAAATTTACATTCATACAAATTATAAATTGTTATTGAGAAGCCATTTAATTATTTAATTTAAAGTTACAACCTGTATTCGTTCCACGGCTGAGCACAGGCCCCTCTCATTTCTGAGAGGGTTTTAGGGCAAGGAAATGTCCGCTGCGCTGCCCTACGTGTTGGCGAATTTCACATATCTTCGAAATATTATTTTCTTAATTTCAAGCATGCGGATTTCCTCACTATGTTTTCCTTCACCACCGAGCACAGTAATTAACAATTTCATTGGTGCCGGCGGAGATCGATACCGCGCTGCTCACGTACCGTGAAATTTTCAGAGAGAGCTTGGTCCTTGAGCTGCCACGGATCTCCCTGAACTACCACGGCTTTTATTGCATTTATTACTCTATTTATATATATAATATAATTAAAATTATATATAAATATATATATATATATATATATATAATTAAAATTAATACATTATTTCATGATCTCTTAATGTTATTTTTCTTAGTTGTAATAATTATAGAGATTTCATCTGCAAATGAAATTTGGTAAGTCATTAATGTATATTAAAAATAATAAAGGTCCTAATATGCTTCCCTGAGAGACTCCAAACTCATTTAATTTAAACTTAGATCTATTGGAGCGGGTAACAAAAAAATTGTCTAGTTTAATTATTTCCACACATTGTTGTCTATTTTCGACTGTATTATTTATGTGTGTTACCTCAGAATTTTTTCTAGGTAAACCGATTTTGATGATTATTTTTTATTTGATAGCAGTGCTTCTCATGTGGTCGCATATTATAATTTGAGTTATCCTTAATAATGTGTATTTAATTGCCTTCAACAACATTGATGTTCTCGTTTTATATGTATTGAAGTCGGTTGTACAATATTTTTAATTTTACGACTTGTGTGTTAATATGTCTTTTTCTAATTTAGACCCGGACCTCCGATTCAGTTGTTTTCTAGATTCGATAATTATTGTTCATGCGAAACATAATCAAAATCTTCGGACGTATCAAAGAATAGTACAGTTACTGATTTATAAGAATTTGCTTAAATTTGATTTAGATTAAATCTTTATCAAAGACGTTTATGGGTCGCAGTAATCGTTGATATTTAGTTCCAATTTTCACTAAACACTGATGAATTTTAGAAATATGTGTTAGACATGTAGAAATGTGTTAAAGATTTGGTTCAATGGAGTAAATAGCACGTAGTCGTGGTTCAGGATCCACGGGCTGAAGTCGGGCAAGCTGCTGAAGGAGTTCCGCGGGCACACGTCGTTCGTGAACGAGGCGGTGTTCACGCCGGACGGGCACGGCGTGCTGAGCGCGTCGTCGGACGGCACGGTGCGGCTGTGGAGCGCGCGCTCGGCCGAGTGCACGGCCACCTTCAAGCCGCTGGGCTCGGGCGAGCCGCCCGTCAACTCGCTGCTGCTCACGCCCAAGAACCCCGAGCACTTCGTGGTGTGCAACCGCACCAACACCGTGGTCATCATGAACATGGCGGGCCAGATCGTGCGCTCGCTGTCCAGCGGCCGGCGCGAGGCCGAGGGCGGCGCCTTCGTGTGTGCGGCGCTCGGGGCCCGGGGCCGCCTGCTGTACTGCGCCGGAGAGGACCTGGTGCTGTACGCCTTCTGTGCGGCCAGCGGCAAGCTGGAACGCACCATCAACGTGAGTACCGTGCCCGCCCGCTAGCTGTACTGTACTGTACTGTACTGCGCCGGCGAGGACCTGGTGCTGTACGCCTTCTGTGCGGCCAGCGGCAAGCTGGAGCGCACCATCAACGTGAGTACCGTGCCCGCCCGCTAGCTGTACTGTACTGTACTGTACCGCGCCGGCGAGGACCTGGTGCTGTACGCCTTTTGTGCGGCCAGCGGCAAGCTGGAGCGCACCATCAACGTGAGTACCGTGCCCGCCCGCTAGCTGTACTGTACTGTACTGTACTGTGCCGGCGAGGACCTGGTGCTATACGTCTTCTGTGCGGCCAGCGGCAAGCTGGAGCGCACCATCAACGTGAGTACCGTGCCCGCCCGCTAGCTGTACTGTACTGTACTGTACTGCGCCGGCGAGGACCTGGTGCTGTACGCCTTCTGTGCGGCCAGCGGCAAGCTGGAACGCACCATCAACGTGAGTACCGTGCCCGCCCGCTAGCTGTACTGTACTGTACTGTACCGCGCCGGCGAGGACCTGGTGCTGTACGCCTTCTGTGCGGCCAGCGGCAAGCTGGAGCGCACCATCAACGTGTGTACCGTGCCCGCCCGCTAGCTGTACTGTACTGTACTGTACCGCGCCGGCGAGGACCTGGTGCTGTACGCCTTCTGTGCGGCCAGCGGCAAGCTGGAGCGCACCATCAACGTGAGTACCGTGCCCGCCCGCTAGCTGTACTGTACTGTACTGTACTGTGCCGGCGAGGACCTGGTGCTATACGTCTTCTGTGCGGCCAGCGGCAAGCTGGAGCGCACCATCAACGTGAGTACCGTGCCCGCCCGCTAGCTGTACTGTACTGTACTGTACTGCGCCGGCGAGGACCTGGTGCTGTACGCCTTCTGTGCGGCCAGCGGCAAGCTGGAACGCACCATCAACGTGAGTACCGTGCCCGCCCGCTAGCTGTACTGTACTGTACCGCGCCGGCGAGGACCTGGTGCTGTACGCCTTTTGTGCGGCCAGCGGCAAGCTGGAGCGCACCATCAACGTGAGTACCGTGCCCGCCCGCTAGCTGTACTGTACTGTACTGTACTGTGCCGGCGAGGACCTGGTGCTATACGTCTTCTGTGCGGCCAGCGGCAAGCTGGAGCGCACCATCAACGTGAGTACCGTGCCCGCCCGCTAGCTGTACTGTACTGTACTGTACTGCGCCGGCGAGGACCTGGTGCTGTACGCCTTCTGTGCGGCCAGCGGCAAGCTGGAACGCACCATCAACGTGAGTACCGTGCCCGCCCGCTAGCTGTACTGTACTGTACTGTACTGTACTGTGCCGGCGAGGACCTGGTGCTGTACGCCTTCTGTGCGGCCAGCGGCAAGCTGGAACGCACCATCAACGTGAGTACCGTGCCCGCCCGCTAGCTGTACTGTACTGTACTGTACTGTACTGTGCCGGCGAGGACCTGGTGCTATACGTCTTCTGTGCGGCCAGCGGCAAGCTGAAGCGCACCATCAACGTGAGTACCGTGCCCGCCCGCTAGCTGTACTGTACTGTACTGTATTGCGCCGGCGAGGACCTGGTGCTGTACGCCTTCTGTGCGGCCAGCGGCAAGCTGGAACGCACCATCAACGTGAGTACCGTGCCCGCCCGCTAGCTGTACTGTACTGTACTGTACTGCGCCGGCGAGGACCTGGTGCTGTACGCCTTCTGTGCGGCCAGCGGCAAGCTGGAACGCACCATCAACGTGAGTACCGTGCCCGCCCGCTAGCTGTACTGTACTGTACTGTACTGCGCCGGCGAGGACCTGGTGCTGTACGCCTTCTGTGCGGCCAGCGGCAAGCTGGAGCGCACCATCAACGTGAGTACCGTGCCCGCCCGCTAGCTGTACTGTACTGTACTGTACCGCGCCGGCGAGGACCTGGTGCTGTACGCCTTCTGTGCGGCCAGCGGCAAGCTGGAGCGCACCATCAACGTAAGTACCGTGCCCTCCCGCCTGCTGTACTGTACTGTGCCGGCGAGGACCTGGTGCTACCGTACCGACCTGAACCTGTAAATACATACGCGGACGGCGGCATCGCCTGACATCAAAGGCGTTACACAACTGTAAGGTCTTTAAACTGTGGTACTGTACTGTATGCCATGTGTTTCGTCGTCGCTCAAATTAAACAATCTTAGTATACAAAAGAAAACCCCTGAGCTTCAGTCATTCGCTTTATATTTATTGACATGTAAACTAGTCTTTATTGCATAGTTCAGTATACTCCTTTTATTTATCAGCCGGTAAAAGTCTACAGCTAGACCTCTCCCGCTCTAGGGAGGATTTTGTGCAAATGTAAAAAATAATAAATTCAGTTTAGATATTACATATTAATCACGTAGTTTTTATTAACAACATCACAATCTTATTTATTTCCAGATACATGAAAAAGCAGTAATTGGTATGACACATCATCCGCATCAGAACTTGCTGGCCACTTATAGTGAGGATGGCCTACTCAAGATCTGGAAACCTTAAGTGTGTGTCATCACTGTGACAAGACTCATTAATCGGTACAGACATTGAAGTAACGACTTGTGTGAATGTTTTGTTATATGAATAAGTGACAAATGTGTACATACATAAATAAGAATGCTTAGAAAACTTTCTGTATGATTTATGATAAAAATTAAATATTACTTCTTGCTTTTGCCTCTTTTTTTTTAATTATCAATCAGATTCGTCACAACATTCTTCAGTTGATAAATCTATATTGCTTAAATTCAATGAAAAAAAATTGTGAGAGCCTGGTGTTAGTACTAGGATAGACCTGTATGACTAATCACCAGACTCGTCCCTTAATGTAACAGTTATCAACATACCTTTAAATTTGGTACACTTCGTGCGACAATATTGATTTATAATTGCTGTTTTTGTAATTAAAGTTACAATAAAAGAAAGAGAAAAAAAAAACAATTTAAAAAACTAATGGATGAATCTGGAGTATAATTAATAGCGAAACTGGTAAAATCAACTCTTGCAATTCAAACTACCAGTTAAGTGTTAATAACAAATTAACCGAATCAGATCAGGACGTTGCAATGGTTTTTGAGAAATATTTTACTGATATTTCGATATTAACCACTAAGTCACTGAATTCTTCTCCTGCCGTCGCCGAATCATTACTTAAAGAAAATGTAAATGCGTGTACAAAGAATTTTACATTTCATAAAGTATCATCAAAAGATATTGTAAAATATTTTAAAACTATTGATGTTAAGAAAACTGTGGATCTGTGGGGGATTTCCGTTAAAGTTATTGCGTCTATAATAGATACAATCGCGCCTCATTTAGCTATTATTTTTAATACTAGTATCGAATCTGGTGTGTTTCCTGATTTAATAAAGTATAGTAAAGTAATACCTTTATTTAAATCTGGTAGTACATTAGACCCCGCCAATTTTAGACCTATTTCTGTACTACCAACACTTAGTAAGATTTTTGAAAAAATTATTCTTGATCAAATGTTAAATTTCTTTAATATAAATAATTTACTTCATAAAAATCAATTTGGTTTCACAAGGGGTCGCTCGACAACTGATGCCGGTGTTGAGCTGATTAAATATATATTTAATGCAAGGGAGAATTCACAGGATGCTTTGGGTATATTTTGTGACCTATCCAAAGCCTTCAATTGTGTTCACCATGAAACATTAATCAGGAAACTTCAACACTACGGTGTAAGAAGTGATGCTCTTAAATTAATTATTTCATATTTAAGTAAGAGAACGCAAAAAGTTGTCATTAACAGTATTTCTTACGGGTCGATGGTACAAATGGGCGTGCCTCAAGGCTCAATTCTCGGCCCCTTTCTGTTTCTTGTATACATTAATGACTTACCTTACGTAGTAGGAGATAACCATGATATAGTATTATTTGCAGATGACACTTCTTTAATTTTCAAATTAAGTCGACAAATGCTAAAATATGACGAAGTAAATAATGCTATATCGAAATTAGTAAATTGGTTCAATGTTAATAATTTGCATTTAAATGGCACTAAAACGAAATGTATTAAATTTATGACTCCAAATGTCATACAATTAAATACTAATGTAATTTTAAATGGGGAGAAACTGAGTCTTGTAGATACCACCATTTTTCTTGGAATCACACTAGACGCGAAGCTTCAATGGAGCCCCCATATATCAAAACTAGCAAGCAGACTTAGTTCTGCAGCATATGCCGTAAAAAAGATTAGAAGTCTAACTAGTGTTGAAACAGCTAGACTAGTTTACTTTAGCTATTTCCATAGCATAATGTCGTATGGTAGTTTGCTATGGGGACACGCAGCTGACACTGAAATTATATTTGTTTTACAGAAGAGGGCCATAAGCATAAGAGCAATTTATGATTTAAAGCCTAAAGAGTCGCTGCGACAAAAATTTAAGGAAATTAATATATTAACTTTAGCCTCTCAATACATTTATGAAAATGTAATGTACGTACACAAAAATAAAAGTAGTTTTACAAAAATAAGTGATATTCATTCTGTAAATACTAGGAACAGACACAAGCTAGTAGTACCAGTTACTCGACTCCATCGAGTCAGTAATTCATTCTTGGGGCGATGTATACGCTTTTACAACAAAATTCCAGAAAATACACAAAATTTGACCTGCTCAAAGTTCAAAAAACTTTATTAAAGTAAGTTTGTATAAAAAGGGTTATTATAATATTAAAGAATTTATAGATGATAATAACCCCTGGAAATGAGGAGATCGCTACCAAGCTATTTCTAATTTGTTGTGTTGTTAATTTGTGTAACATACATGGTTGTAAGCTGTTATTTAAAAAAAAGTCCCGCTGGGTTTCTTGCTGGTTCTTCCCAGGACAGAGGTTTTTTTCGAACCAGTGGTAATTATACAAAAGAGTGACTTTCAATAAGTATTATTTATAATCTATATTGAATAAAAAAGTTACTGTTTCTGTTTCAAATATACACGTGAGCGCTGTGTGTGTGTGCGAGAGAGAGAGAGAGTTATCAGGGATTCTGTTTTATTGTAGTTTAAACGATTCGTTGTGGCACCGATGTTCGACAACTTTTAGCTGTGGCGGCGAACAAATATTTCATGACACGCCTGTTCTTTTTTATGCTTTTTTCACTTGTTTAGACCTAAATAAGTTTACTTGACATCAAACATAAGTTACAAACGGAAGGATACTTGTTTTTAGTGGGGGTAACTACGTGTTTTTCTACGTGTTTTCTTTGAAATTGAGAGTGACTTTTTTATGCAGAGATTACAAACCTTTTGTACTATTTATTGTTTTATAAAAAAAATCATTTATATAAGTAGGTACAGCTAAATCACCCTGGAAACCTTGGTTTTTATTTAATTAAATTTTCACCTAATAATAACATTTGTAAATATCAAACAATGAAGAACCTTAATTTGGAAAAAAATAAGGTTTATGATTCATTGATATTTACAAATGTTAAATATTGTTTAATGTTATACAAATGTAAAAGTAAAGTCGATCTGAAAACGTCTAATTAGTAAGAATAGCAAAACAAGTGTTTTCAAAAGGAAAAAAACGCCGGCACTATACGGCGGCGGATTGATAAAAGACTATTTATTAGCGAACTTTTTTATGCATGAACGGTTTCGAACTGTTTCAAGCAAAATAAACCTTATACCATATCACAAGAGCACATGGTACTTCGTAGGTCTATTCGGCCATATGATATATGATAGTAATAAGACGGCAGTTCAACCATTTTAAGCAAAATTAAACAATAAGACAAACGCATTCTTTTCTTTTAACAGGAGACTTGTTTTCCAGAAATTTATTTACAACTTGAGTTTGTGAGCGATCACAATGAGTGCTATTATTTGTTACTTATTAGACTATTTTTCCACAACATGATTTAAAACCCACAAAGTAAAAATAGTACCATGTACACGTTAAAAAAAGGTTGTCAACTCCTAAAAATTTCAAATTTTCAAAATATCCAGAAACGAAGCTGTAGGCATGAACTACTTGCAAAATAATGAATATTTTGTTCTGGATAAATCTTCTAAAAAAGCAATTTGAGCGAGTTATAACGATTTTTAAAAAGACACGACTCGCGTGTCATACGCCATACACAAAAGTGGCGTGCCACCCGCACTGAACCGGTTAAGCCCAAAAGCCATTCCGTTACTGTTGTTTTTAAGGAATATTTACTCATAGAATATATTAGTATGGCCTTATTTATCCTATTGTAAAGAAGACTACCAAGATAACAGAAGAATCTACGAGAAAAATTTGAATTACATTTTTGACTTTTACAAACTATCCTACCCCTTCCCGAGATTGGAGAAGACATTCTATTGTATGGTAGCGAAGAATATTTTTTAGAACAGTTTGTAAAATAAGCATTTGCCTAACAGTAAGTACCCTGTAACGTTTGTATAGTTCAGCAGTTGAAAATAAAAATGGCAATGAAAACCCGACTTTTAGAATGGCTCTTTGCGTGCATTCCAACCCCATAAGACGGGTTTTTGCTGCACCACCCCATGAAGTTATACCGTACAGCAAAAGAGATTGCACAAAGACAAAAGAAACAGTTTTGATCACTTTTGTATCCGAAGCATTTCTAAGGTTTTAAAAACATAAATCAATTTTCTTAATCTAGATGCTAGTGTAGCTATATGTTTTTCAAACGTTAAGTTGGTGTCTATTATAACACCAAGATATTTAACGTACACAGATTTCTCAATAGTTGGACAGGTAAGTGCATAATTGAGTCTGAGGCAGTCTGAGAGTTAGTAAGATAACAGAGAGAGTTACAGGCAAAACAGGAGTGCACCTTTAGACGGAGGTGATCCCGTGAAGGCTGATCTTGTGCTCTGATGGAAAAGGGTAAAAATTTAGTTTTTTCAATATTTAAGGTAAGTACGCCTTTGTTTGCCAATTCACAACAATATTTAATCCTTTTTGAGCATTACTAAATGTCTGGGGCCAGGAATCACCATAAAAGAGAAGTGCCGTGTCATCAGCAAAGGTAATTATTTGTCCATTTGGAAGATTTAGATTGCATAAGTCGTTTATGTAGGTTAAAAAGAGTGTAGGGCCTGATATACCGCCTTGTGGTACACCAAACTAACAGGCAACTCTTTACTCACGTAGTCTTGCACCTTGGACACTGAGTTCTATTCTGCAAATAACCCCAGACAAGTTTTAGCTGGAGTTTAAAAAATAAATAAAAGGAATTACGAACAAATAAGGGTTGAACTAAAATCTCCCACTTGTTCTAGCAGTACAAAGTAACGCGCAGGCGACACTAAGAGGGATCAGTCGGTAATTCTATGAGTCTCACTGTTGTTATTGCGCCCGTTGGGCTAAAACATTACCTCCACACAGAGATCCTGCCTACGTCATTCTACGAGTCTTTAGTCACAGTATCGACGTTTTGTTCGTTATAATTAAAATGTTTCTTCTAGTGTAGACAAGGAACATCGTGTTGCTCAGAGGATTGCCTTGTGTTACATTGA